TGTTCTAGACTATAAGCAAAGGCCCACGTTCCAGACTGTAAGTGAAGGCCCACGTTCCAGACTATAAGTGAAGGCCCATGTTCTAGACTATAAGCCCATGTTCTAGACTATAAGTAAGCCCATGTTCTAGACTATAAGTGAAGGCCCACGTTCCAGACTGTAAGTGAAGGCCCGCGTTCCAGACTGTAAGTGAAGGCCCACGTTCCAGACTGTAAGTGAAGGCCCACGTTCCAGACTGTAAGTGAAGGCCCTGTTCTAGACTGTAAGTGAAAGCCCGCGTTCCAGACTACAAGTGAAGGCCCGTGTTCCAGACTACAAGTGAAGGCCCACGTTCCAGACTGTAAGTGAAGGCCCGCGTTCCAGACTGTAAGTGAAGGCCCGCGTTCCAGACTACAAGTAAAGGCCCGTGTTCTAGACTGTAAGTGAAGGCCCGTGTTCTAGACTGTAAGTGAAAGCCCACATTGGTGAGGAGTGACGGCTCACTTGTAGGCAAGGCCTAAGCGTGTCTGAAATGATCGTTTGGAAAACGGACATGCCATCAAACCTGCATGGACGGCACAGGGACTCTGCACCCCAGAAAGCAAGGGCGGCACAGGGACTCTGTACCCCGGAAGGCAAGGGCAATGCAGGGACACAGCCCTCCCCGGACAGGGATGAGCTCCTTACCGTTCGATGATGCGGTTGTTGTCCTGGAGGTCAAACGTCAGCTGCTTCATCTCTTCATGAAGCTCTTGCATGCTGCTCAAGGCAGAGGTGGGAGAGCCGGCTGAGCCACAGTCACGCTGCCGAGCCCTCTGCCTCCCCCTGCGGGGCCCCACCCTCCTCGCCAGTTCTACTCCAAGCAGCCTCTTGATTCCTGCCTCCCAGGCCTGGCAGGAGGCCAGTCCCCTCTGGTCCTAACCTCAGCACCCTCTTCCCACTCATCACCCCCTTCCCCAGCACACACACACGCATGCACACACACATACACACACTCACACACACCTCTTTGGCACTTACTGAAGAACCAGGTCCTGGGAACCAGATGCAGGGCTGGGATAAGGGGCTATGGGGGATGATGAGGCCTGAGCCTCCACTCTTCCATCCTGAAGGAGTTGGTAAGACAGCCGGTCAAGGATCTGAGAGAAGCCACACTTTAGTCAGAAGGGATGAGCCAGCTTGTGGGTGGGTAGGTGGGGGTGCTGAAGAAGGTAGGAAAAGTGTAACACTGTCCCCCTCGTGCATCCCTGGATCTACCAGAATTCTCACATCTTTCCCACGAGTCCTTCTTTCCCATTCTGGAAGTGCAGCCAGCATAACTACCTTCATTCGTCTTTGCTTGGATTTAAGGATCCAGACATCCAGGAAGTTCTCCTTTATGTCTAACCTAAACCTCTCATGACACAATACAGCCATGAACTACAGAGAAGGGGTGAGGGCTCCTGCCTTTTTCCGACACTGAACTATTTGTTTCATTAAATCAAAACCAAACTAATTGCCTTAGAGTCAATTTCAGCTCACGGTGACCCCCTACGTGCTTCAGGTAGAACTGTGCTCCACAGGGTTTTCAAGGGCTGTGGTATTTCTTCTGAGGCACCTCTGGGTGGGTTTGAACCACCACACTTTGGGTTAGCAGCTGAGCGTATAACCATTTGTGCCACCAAGGGACCCCACTCATTTCATTACATGTAATGATAGAAAGTACCAGCTGCACTGAAAGAAGCAGCCCGTGTCTGTCCTTGGTGGAAAAGCGGGCAGCTTCCCAGCGCCGCCCTGTGCTGTCTCCCCAGAGAGGAGGACAAGGTGAGTTCACGTGGCCTCTCTCGGCGTCACTTCTCGGTCTCCCTCCCGCCTGCATAGGAGCCTTTGGAAGAGGGCCCAACATTCCAGGGGCTCTGCCCGGGTAGTGACCTTCAGCCTGAGACTGTTCACTCAGCATAATGTCCGCAAGTTTACCCATGTCATAGCATGTATCAGGATTTCATTGCTCTTCACGGCTGAGTAGTATTCCATCGTATGTATGCACCCCATTTTGTTTATCCATTCTTCCAGGAAGCACCTTCCACTCAGCCTCCCTCCCCACCTCAGGGTACATTTGGGCTCAGGGACCCTCAACCCACAGCCTGAACTTGGTCAAGGGCAGCTGTGACCAGAGGCAGGGGATGGCCCGAATCCCCCCGGGCACCTGATTGGCCTGGCTCCCCTCCGAGGCTGGGTGCCTGCAGAACCCGCACCTTGCTGAGGCTCTCCTGCACCCCCTGGGCTTCGGTGTTACAGGCGGCCACGGAGCAGCCAACTAGGCGCAGGTGGTTCCTGGTCTCGTGTACCATCCTGTAGAGAGCAGACAGAGAGAGGCCGAGAGGTGGGCTTGGCTCTCTCCCTGATTGTCCTCTGGGCCACCACACAGACATGGGATTTCCAGACGGCTCAGGCTGGGGCTGTTCCAACCATACCTGCTGGTCCCAGCCATTTGCCTGCCTCACTTCCTCTGCCCTTCCAGATGGGCCCTCAACTCCTACCCACCCCAATGTAATAATTTACTAACGCTGATGAGCCGTCTGACTAAGGCTGGTGAGGGTCCTGTTAGAACCCCAGTGGGGAATGCTGTAAAGATGCAGTGGCCAGTGGCCAGGTCACACAGGCTGGTTCTGATGAGCCAGGTGCCAGGTAAGGCTCCAGAGGCGCAGAGGACAGCCCACGCTTCAGCACCAAATACCGGAACGGCCCACACTGCCTATTTCCAGCCAGTCACGGTTAGGACTGTTCTTTTCTCTCTCTAAGTGGCGGGAGCGAGCACGAATATTTTCCCCATTGCTCAGAGGAAACCAGGGTGCAGAAAGGTTAAACTGGTGCTTGGCTCTCCCCACTGCCTGTACACTAGGACCACCTGGGGGGCTTTATAGAAGGCTGATGTCCAATGAGATCAGAATTGGGGTGGGCTGGGGAGGGAGGTGGGGGAGCCAGATGCTGATATTCTAATGTGAGGGTAAGTGAATGCCAGGGTCTCAGCCCCATAAAGCTCACAGGTCACAGGGGCCTCAGAACCCAGCAACACATGGGAAAGGGGCAACCCTCTCTTCTCAGGGGGCCAATATTAATGCAGGCAGGGGAAGGAGGGAGAGGTTTGTCTATGAAGGGAGAACTAAAGGGGACAGTGTGAGAGACGGTTCTGTTCAAGGGGTACTGCCCACCCAGCTTCCCTGCCCCCTTAGAAGCCTATAAATCAGTGTGTCCTCATCCAAGAGGGGACTTGGTTTCTTCCCCAGAGAGAGGGTTTCCTAGTACAACCAGCTGGGACAGTAAAAAGAACTTGGATTGTAGAGGCAGACATCTCCATACACTAGTCCTGGGTCTATTACTTACTAGCTGTGTAACATGGAGGGAGAGACCTGTTCTCTGAGCCTCAGTGTCTTCATCTGTGAAACGGGTGATAATATCTACTCCGTAGGGTAGATATTGTGGAGTTAAAAGGGCTAATTTGTAGAAACCACCCAGCAGACTGCCTGGTCCACAAAAACACCATTTCCTTGCCTTCCTCTACGACACCCTCCCCCTCCATCAGGGGTCTGCAAAGCCCTGTGTCATCCGAAGCCTGGAAAGTCCCAGGCCAGGCTGGGTGCCTGAGCTCTGGAGGGAGGCTGGGCTGTTACCTCATCCGTTTGCCGTGCGTGACCAGGGCTGCCTGATACTTCTGCACACACTCCTCCTGGAACACCTGCAGGAGCCTTTTGGCTAAATGACTAAAATTCACCCTGAAAAGACAGAGAAACTGAGGCACAGAGATGAGCAGCAGAGACACCAGGCCCCTGAGCATAGGCCCAGCATCTCTAGGTCTCCGTAATCACTACATCACCAATGCCTACCCCCTGTGCCCACGGCAGGGGGACTCTGTATCCGAGGAAGGAGGAGACGATGTTCACACACATGAATCACGGAGGCCGGAGAGGCTGGCAAAGCACACACATCAACAGGGAGATGTGGTGGGAGGGGTCAGGACTTCAGAAAACACACTCTTGCAAGCTTGGTCCCCAGACGGAAAGTAGGAGAGATAGACACGGAGAGAGAGGGAATGTGTGTGTGTGTGTCTGTGTGTGTGTGTGCGTGCGCGCAGGGGCTGGTGGTGGGTGTAGACTGTGGCACCTCCAATGGGACACCTCTGGAAGATAAGCGTCCAGGAAACAGGCAGCAGGAAGCACAAAGGAGGGATCCAGGGGAGGGCAGAGGCAGGAAGTGATAAGTGGTAAATCAGAGAGGACAATTAGGGAAAGAAATCTACAAATCATTTGCTCATACCAGAAGTAAATCCAGTTACATCAGAATTACTTCTGAGCTACCTCCCTTCAACTCAGCCGCATAATCTCCCTCCCCCACCCCAGCTAACCTGCCCCATAGACAGTTATCCTAGCTGCCAACTCGACCCCTCTCCTCTCTGCCCAGCCACAGCCTGGGGTCAAGGTCCTTCACCACCTCTTGTCTGGCTTGGAGGATAGCTCTGCCCTGGTGGTACCACCCTCCTGCCCACCCACCTACCCAGGCCACTCACTTATCCAGCTTGTGGATTTGCTCCTCGTTGTAGCCAAGCCCTGAAGGAAATAGGAATGATGCCACTTAATCAATCAACAAAACAGAGTGTCACAAGGGTGGGGCTTGTGCTGAGCACTTGGGGGTGGGGGACAGGGACACAGATGAAGACAGCCCAGCCTGGCTCCTGCTCTAGGGGAGCTCACGGCCAAGTGGAGCCAGGAAGAGCTAATTAATTTCACTTGAGTTCATTCCAACTCATGGCTACCCCATGTGTGTCAGAATAGAACTGTGCTGGACACAGCAAAAGCAGTGCCTAGAGGTCATTTTATAGCAATAAATATGCACATCAAAAAAGAAGGGCAAATATCAAAACAGTAACCCTACAACCCGAACAATTAGAAAGAGAGTAGCAAAAGAAGCCCCTAGTTGCCAGAAGAAACAAAATAATAAAAATTAGAGCAGAAAATCAATGAAACAGAGAACAGAAAAACAACAGAAATAATCAATAAGCCTAAAAGCTGGTTGTTTGAAAGGATCAGTAAAATCAACAACCCACTGGCCAAAGTGACAAAAGAAAAACAGAAGATGCAAATAACCCAAATAAGAAGTTAGATGGATGACATTACCATAGAACCAACTGAAATAAAAAGGATCATAATAGAATACTACGAAAAATTGTACTCCAACAAATTTGAAAACCTATAGGAAATGGACAAATTTCTAGAAACATACTACCTACTTAACCTAACAAAAACTGAGGTAGAAAATTTGAACAGACCTATAACAAAAGAAGAAATTGAAGAGGTCATTAAAAAACTCCCAACAACAACAACAAAAAAGCCCCAGCCCAGATGGCTTCACTGGAGAATTCTACCAAACATTCAGAGAAGAGTTGACGCTGATTCTACTCAAACTATTCCAGAACATATAAAAGGAAGGAATACTCCCAAATCATTCTATGAAGCCAGGGTAACCCTGATACCAAAATCAGGCAAAGGCATCACTAAAAAACTATAGACCAACATCCTTCCTGAATACAGATGCAAAAACTCTCAACAAAATCCTAGCCAGTAGAATTCAATAGCATATCAAAAATAATAATATATTATGACCATCTGGGATTCATACTAGGTGTGTGAGGATGGTTCAACATTAGCAAATCAATCAATGTAATCCATTACATAAATAAAAGAATCACATGATCATCTCAATTGATGCAGAAAAGGCATTTGATAAAGTCCAACACCCATTCCTGATAAAAACTCTCAGCAACATAGGAATAGAAGGGAAATTCCTCAACATAATAAACGGCATCTATACAAAACCAACAGCTAACATCATGGTCAATGGAAAGGGGCTGAAAGCATTCACCCCGAGAACATAACAAGACAAGGATGTCCTTTATCACCACTTGTATTCAACGCTGGAAGTCCTAGCTAGAGCAAAAAGGCAAGAAAAGGAAATAAAAGGCATTCAAATTGGTAAGGAAGAAGTAAAACTATCCCTATGCGCAGATGAAATGATCCTATACATAGAAAATCCCTAAGATTCCACAAGAAAGCTACTGGAACTAATAGATTCAGCAAAGTGGCAGGATACAAGATCAACATACAAAAATCAGTGGGATTCCTCTACATCAGCAAAGAGAACTTTGAAAAGGAAATCGGAAAAGAATATCATTTACAATAGCCCCCTAAAACATAAAATACTTAGGAATAAATCTCACCAGGGACATAAAAGACCTATGCAAGGAAAACTACAAAACACTACTGGAAGAAACCAAAAGAGACCTATACAAATGGAAAAACATACCGCACCCTTCGACAGGAAGACTCAACATTGTGAAAATGTCAGTGCTACCCAAAGTGATGTTCAGTGGATGGATTCTTGAGATGGTCCCAAATTCAGGTGGGATATACTCAAGGTTGTATTTTGATTCTCATGGACTTGTTTTAATTTTCTTCAGCTTCACCTTAAACTTGCATATGAGCAACTGATGGTCTGTTCCAGAGTTGGCCCCCAGCCTTGTTCTGACTGATGATATCGAGCTTTTCCATCATCTCTTTCCATCTGTGGATGGAAAGTCGATTTGATTCCTGTGTTTTCCATCCAGTAAAGTCCATGTGTGTAGTCACCGTTTATGTTGTTGAGAAAAGGTATTTGCAATGGATAAATCATTGGTCTTGCAAAATTTTATCATGCAATGTTCAGTGTCATTTCTATCACCAAGGCCATATTTTCTGACCACAGATCCTTCTTCTTTGTTTCCAGCTTTCGCAATCCAATCACCTGTAATTATCAAAGCATCTTTATTGCATCTTTGATCAGACTGCAGAAGTTGGTAAAATCTTCAATTTCCTCATCTTTGGCGTTAGTGGTTGGTGCATAAATTTGAATAACAGTCGTATTAACTGGTCTTCCTTGCAGGCATATAGATATTATCCTATCACTGACAGCATTGTACTTCAGGATAGATCTTGAAATGTTCTTTTTGATGATGAATGTGATGCCATTCCTCTTCATCATTCCCAGCATAGTAGACCATGTGATTGTCTGATTCAAAATGGCCAATACCAGTCCAGTTCAGCTCACTAATGCCTAGGATATCGATATTTATGCATTCCATTTCATTTTTGATGACTTCCAATTTTCCTAGATTCCATACTTCGTACATTCCACGTTCCAACTGTTAATGGATGTTTGCAGCTGTTTCTTCTTCTTTTGAGTCATGCCACATCAGCAAATGAAGGTCCTGAAAGCTTTAATCCATCCACATCCTTAAGGTCAACTCTAATTTGAGGAGGCAGCTCTTCCCCAGTCATCTTTTGAGTTCCTTCCAACCTTAGGGGCTCATGTTCTGGCACTATATCAGACAATGTTCTGCTGCAATTCCTAAGGTTTTCACTGGTCAGTTTTTTCAGAAGCAGACCACCAGGTCCTTTCCATGGAAGCAGCAGTCAAGAAATCAAATGACATATTACACTGGGAAAATTTGCTGCAAAATACCTCTTTAAAGTGTGCAAAACCAAAGATGTTACTTTGAGGACCCAAGCCATGGTATTTTCAATCGCCTCATATGCATGTGAAAGCTGGACAATGAATAAGAAAGACAGAAGAAGAATTGATGCCTTTAAATTATGGTGCGGGCGAAAAATATTGAATATACCATGGACTGCCAAAAGAATGAACAAATTTGTCTTGAAAGAAGTACAGCCAGAATGCTCCTTAGAAATGAGGCTGTGAGACTTTGTCTAACGTACTTTGGACATGTTATTAGGAGGGACCAGTCCCTGGAGAAGGGCATCATGCTTGGTAAGGTAGAGGGTCAGCAAAAAAGAGGAAGACCCTCAGTGAGATGGACTGAGACAGTGGCTGCAACAATGGGCTCAAACGTAGCAATAATTGTAAGGATGGTGCAGGACCAGGCAGTGTTTCCTTCTGCTGTACGTAGGGTCACTGTGAGTTGTAACTGACTTGATGGCACCTAACAACAACCCAAAGCTGTAGATGGATAGAATGCAATCCTGATCCAAATCCTAACAGCATTCTTGAATGAGATGGATAAACCAATCACTAACTTTATATGAAAGGGCAAGAGGCACTGAATAAGTAAAGCATTATTAAAGAAGAACAAAGTAGGAGGCCTCATACTTCCTGATCTCAGAACCTACTATATAGCCACGGTAATCAAAACAACTTCGTACTGGTACAATGACAGACACACAGACCAATGGAACCGAATTGAGAACCCAGAAGTAAATCCATCCACTTATGGACAAAGTCTTCAATAAAGGGCCAAAGTTCATTAAATGGGGAAGAGACAGTCTCTTTAACAAATGATGCTGGCAAAAATGGATATCTATCTGTAGAAAAATGAAGAAAACCCATACATCACCCCATACGCAAAAAACAACTCAAAATGGATCACAGATCTAAGCATAAAACCTAAATTATAAAGACTGTGGAAGGAAAAATAGGGACAATGCTAGGAGCCTTAATACACGGCATAAATAGCATACCAAACATGATTAAAAATATACAAACAGAAGAAGATAAACTAGATAAATGGGATCTCCTAAAAATTAAACACAACAAAAGATTTCTCCAAAAGAGTGAAAAGAGAAACTACAGGCTGGGAAAAATTTTTTTGGCTGTAACATATCCAATGATGGGCTAATCTTTAAAATTTATAGAAAACTTCAATACCTCAACAACAAAAAGACAAATAATCCAATGAAAACATGGGCAAAAGATATGAACAGACACTTCACCAAAGAAGACATTCAGGGGGCAAACATGAAGAAATGCTTGTGATCATTAGCCATCAGAGAAATGCAAATCAAAACTACAATGAGATACCATGCTACCCCTACATTACTGGCATGAATCAAAAAAACAGAAAACAACAAATGCTGGAGAGGTTATGGGGAGATTGGACTTCTAATACACTGCTGGTGGGAATGTAAAATGGTACAACCACTATAGAAAATGGTGTGGCGCTTCCTTAAAAAGTTAGAAATAGAAATACCATACGATCTAGCTAACCTACTCCTAGGTATATACCCTAAAGAAATAAGAACCATGACAGGAATAGACATATGCACATCTAAGTTCACTGCAGCATTATTCACAATAGCAAAAAGGTGGAAACAACCTAAGTGTCCATCAGTGGATGAATGGATAAACTAACTGTGGTACATACACACAGTGGAGTACTACACAACAATAAAGAACAACGATGAATCCGTGAACCATATCACAACATGGACGAACTTGGAGAACACTGTGCTGACTAAAATAAGTCAGTCACAAAAAGACAAATATTGTATGAGACTACTACTATAAAAAATCAAGAAAAAGGTTACACACACACTTACACATATACACACAAACATTCTTTGATGGTTATCAAGGATGGGAGAGGGAGGGAGGGAAAATCACCAATTAGAGAGAAGATACGTGTTAATATTGGTGAAGGGGAAGACATTACACAACGGGGGATGTCAGCACACGAGGACCAAGGCAAAGGAAGGCACTGAGTGGAATGCAAGAATAAAGG